ACTAAGAGCACAGATTCATTGTTGTACATTCATTTGTCTTTGCCTACATCCTGAGAATTCTGAGGAACACCTTTAAGTCACATCATTTTGATAAGACCATATAGTGCTCTCAAATAGAAACAACATATACACAAGACAACTGTGATGTCTCGGGTCTAAGGATTAATTTGCATGATCACAACTTAGAATTCTTTGTTTGACACTTGTGAGTAAGACTTCCATACAAGAATTCTAGAGTTGATCGCGTTCAATGGACTCCATATTCTATAGAGTACCTACACATCTGTCTTAGTGTCTCTACACGAATGACTTGAGACTAGTCATCCTCCCAATTGAGCAGACATAATGTATACTAGTCTTTGCAAGTCACCATTGTCCAATTGGTGATCCTATGACCAAGAACATTTCAGGATACGATATTTATATGTATGGAAAAGTCTCGTGCATCTAATTTCTTTAGACCATTTTCCATTTATATCTTAATCCATGGACTTGTTACTTTGTGTACGTTATGTATCTAAAGCAACGTTCTTGCCCATTTGATTATTATATATTATTTTCTTAGAATTATCCATTTTATATTGGCTTCTAAGGCATATATCTAACAGGTTCAAGGAATGAATTTGAGGGGAAATCATTTCCCATGTCATTTCTCAAGAGATGAGAAATGAAAGATTTCTTTCCCACGTTTGGTAATATTGAGAAAGTAACCGGGAGATATCACTTTATTTCATTTCCCATGTTTGTTTTGAGTAGGAATGAAAAACAAAGTTTGTATAAATTTTCAATTATACCCATATTAAATTAAATAAACAAGAATGCATTTAATGATATATTATAATTCTAAATTGTTAATGGGGACAAAATAGTCATGAAAAATGTTTTTTTAATATTGGCTCATTTTCCAAAACTTTCTCATGAGGAGGGAAAACAAAACTAAAGTTGGGAGAATGACTTCACTTTCCTCCATACTTTCCCATGCCTGGACTTACCAAACATGGGAAATGAATTGATTTTGCATCCCCAAGTCTCCTTTTCCATGAACCGAACGGGCCTCGGGATTGAAATGATTTTCCTTCCTTTTGGGTCTGCATCAATAAGAACTAGTTTTGCAGATACTCAATAAGATTATCAAGCGCTGCTGCATCAGAATTGGTGGGATATGTTCAATTGAAATATATATGCGCAGCGTTTAGAAGAAATAATACAGTAAATATCTTAGCAAGTGTAGACAATCAAAGAAAACACTACAATCTTTCACTTGAGGTTTCAGGCAAAGTCATTAACATTTGCTAGAACTACATAAGAATTGCACAATTTAATTAAAAAGCTAGAAAACAGGAAATAAAAAAGGCAAAAATAAATCCAAACTGAAATACATCTGCGTTGCCAAAAAATGTGTTGCTAAATGTTTGGGCTATCCCACTTGAGTTTCAGCCCGTTGCCCCCAGCTAAGTTACTGTCTACAAAGCAATAGATATAGGATGGTCCCATGATGAAAGAACGACTGACCTCGTACCTGTGCCTATAAGCATATTTTTATTAAGCATACAAGCCTTACCCCAAAGCAAATATAAAAGGCATATGAAATCAAATTCTTATGGGAATGAATCTGAGCATGGGGCAGGCGCTCGTCCCAGTAAAGCTAATGTATTTCCGCATAATACAGCATAGCGTTGTAGTGAACATATATAATAATGTAAAGAAGATATAGTAAATACGTTGACAATGCATGGGAAATCATGAATGTAAGATAAGAAGATTTTCTTATCTGCTCGGTGGCTTAGACGATGTGTAATATTAGTGCCCGTTATTGGACAAATGACAATGAGGTTGCTCTGGCGGCGGCTTGCTTGGGGTCGCTTTTGATCTACACAGTCACATCGCATCTATCTAAGCAACGATATGTTCGCAGGCAGAATTGAACGACGCTGAAAATTGGATAGGAATGTAGTAGACGTGCCCCCAATTCATCGTTTGTTACAAATCAGGAACATGACTTGGTAAACAGTCCTCCCCGCTGCAGGTTTGGATCGATGGATATTGGTGTGCCCATTGGTGCCCCCTTTCATTTGGTTTGTTATGGGATAGGACTCTTCTACTAACGTCTGTTTGAAGGAGTTAACTCGTGCTCCATTCTAGCACAGGTGAGCCTTCAATTATACAGTGTCCCTTGCTCCTTAATATGGCTTGTCGTCTTTATCCGTTCTCCCTTCTTCTAGGGATGTGGGCTCCTCAACCTTACCAATTGAAGATCCTTCGTCTTTTTACTCTTCCATCCTCCACACTTTTCTCAGGCTCAACTTCATCATGTTTCTTCTCTCTTGTGCTGTAAGTTTAGGTTGTTCTGGTTCTTTCTCCACTGCTAGACTAGGTGTATATGAAATGGATTGATAGATTGATTAGTTGTTGGTACTAAAAGGGTTTACATTTCCTTGAGAAAAAGATTGGTGTGCCTATTACATTATGAGTTTGTGTCTTGTAGTATTTGTGTCATATGTAGAGAAGACACAATTGTTTTGTGTCCAACTTGAACAGAAGAAGGAAATAATTGTGCTTCAGTAATGCACAAATAGACAACTTTTGTGTCCGACCTCAGCTCCTCTCTCTATCGATTCGTCTCTCCCGACCTTAGTCGCCGACAGCGTCGGCGTCGCTTCATCGATCTCACTCTCTCATCTGGTATCATCTCTTCTCTCGATCTCATTTTCTCTGTCTGTCAACCTCATCCTCTCTCTCTCTCTCTCTCTGGAGTTGACCTAACCCAGATCGCCCCTCAGTAACCTAACCCTCTCAGAGTCTCTCTCTCTCTCTCTCTCTCTCTCTCTCTCTCTCTCTCTCTCTCGACTCGTCTCTATCGCACTGGCTTTCTCTCACTCTTAGTCACCTCTGTAAGTCTCTTAGAGTCCAGAGACTCGTTCTCCCTCTCCAAACCTATCCAAACATCATCCAATTTCTTTGGTTTTTGGAGCGAATCCTTGCAAATTGTGGAGGGCTCTGGTTCATTCTAAGGTAAATTTGTATGTATTTGGTTTGAATACTTAGTTGTTTTCATGTTCCCCAATTTAGTAGATTATTAGGGTTTCAAAATATTTGTATTCTGTTGAAATTAAAGCAAATTTTTCTTAATTTTGCAGCAGTTGTGCATAGTCTCTGTGGATTTCGATTAATAGGCAAAATTGAAGGTATAAATATTTCTGTGTCTCAATCTCTGTGTGTTGCTTGTTTCATCTTGCTTCAAGCTTTAGTTTTGTTTGGTCCTACTAGGTTAGGATCTGATGAGATGATATGAATGATAACTTTTCTCTGCTTTAATGTCTGCATGTTTGAAGATAGGATTTTTAACTCAAATGTTTCTTTTTCCTTACGATATGTAATTAATTACATTTTTGTCACCCATGTTCTTACGAGGGAAATATTTGACTTCTGTTTTAGATCTGCAATGCAGTTCTTGCAGCAAGAATCATGTAGGTACAGGGTAGATGCGCGGCATATAATTAGCAGCCTCGGTTACTAGTTTGTAACATTTTAATGAACATGGAGGAATTAGATGTTTCCAGATTTGTAGTGATAAGGCATTACCTTTCTTCTTTTCATCATTAGGTACTTAAAATTCATTACCATGGCCTTAGTTTTTTCAGTTTGTTATGTTAGGGAGTGGGTCTCCAACTGACGGAAGGTTTAAGATTGACATCAACTGTCAAGAATCATTGTACATTTAAGATTACAAATATCCATCTAGAATTCGAAAGCCAAGAGTTAAAGTTCTGAGAATTTGATAATAGAGAAGTATAAATTGTGTATGTAGCCATTAGTTTTGTTGGAACTTGATAGTATTGCTGAAATATTGAAGGAGGATTATCCCTCTCTCTTGAACTGGTTATCTATTGTGGTAGATTCTCTCTCTCCTCTCTCTAACGCCGATGCTCTTATTTGGCAGATAATGTGATTAAGGAGGCTCACAAAGGCAGACATAGGCTCATAAAGGGTGTTTTATTTGGAGCTTCTAATTCATTGTTGTTAGATATGTTCAGTTTTAAGTACCAAGTTTTTTTTTTCCCCAATTATTGTATCTAATCACTATATTAAATGGAAATGAAATTCAGTTTGTTATTTAATATATACATTAAATAATATAATATATATATATATATTTTGAAAAGGTCTGAAATACCATACTATATTAAGTGGAAATGAAATTTCAATGTGTAATTTTTTTATTTATTTAAACAATTGGCATTGAGTACAGTTTTCAAATTGTGTTAATATTTTTTTTAGTTTATATTTTGAAACTGTATGCTTAGCTCGCATATATCGAATCACTTTATCTAGCAATTCAGTCACTTGTCAAAATAAAAGCACAAATGCTTGGCGTTTGTGCTCTAAATGTCTGCCACAAAGTAACACATCTGTGCTCTATAATCAATAAAAATTGCTATATAGTACACCCACTACTTTAAAGTGTTTATTCTCAAAATTAGGAGATTTATTCAATGAAAGAATAGTATGACTCTCCAATTAGAATTTGGAGTTGAGTAATGTTATACTTATCACATTTATATCTCATATTTTCATATCACCTTATGTGGCAGATTAAGTAGACAATCACATCAATTAAAAAGTGTCAATAAATTCATAAAAGATAAGAAAATGTTAAATTAATTTTAATTGATGTGTTGTTTACTTCATCTGACACATAAGGTGGTATGAGAATGTGGTATAAAAATGTGGTAAGAGTAATATTATTCTTAGGAGATTTATTCTGTTAGAGAATAGGATTCCTTTCCAATTAGAATTAGAGGATCTAATTAAAGACAAGGAAGGGGACCCGTTTCGATTGATCTGCAAGAGCAACAGGGTGGGCACAGGAAGTTTAGTAACAGGAAGATTGGACTCTATAAAAGCCCGATTGCCGTGACTTCCAAACAAGCTACCACGTAACAACGGCACACGGAAAACCCTACAAAGCTTTTGGGAAAGCTTCACACTGAACCTCTCCTATGGCGACTGAAACTCCAGAGCAAGCCCCAGCAGTCGACGGAGTCCTATCTCTTTCAATCTCTGAGCCTCCACGATCCAGTTCATCAAACCCAACTATCCAGTAAGCTTCTCTTGCTTTTCTTATCATTTTCTTAGGGGCCGTTTAGAAAAACACGCAAAATCAATTTCAGAAAACATATTCAGATTTGTGCCTTGCTTTTGGAAACGTGGTGTTTTCAAGATTTGGGGACACGGAGGCTGATCGTTACTTCCATGCGTGTATCGGATACTCGTTTGGATACGGTCCGATGCGCATAGGATACGTATTGCCGGATACGTGTATCCAACATTCCGGACACGAGTATCTGACTTTTCGGATACGTTCCTCCGGGCAAAGTTTGCCGTTGAGGGGCTGTTTAGCCCCTGGGCTCTGCGTGTGAAGAGGGAGAGAGAGATCGGCGCGCGAGGAAGAAGATGTCGACTACAGGAATTTTAATATAATTTTTATTTTTTAACATAGTTCTGTTTATGGGTTTGGGTCTTAAGCAATAGTATTAAAATGAGTTTTGGGTAATGATATGTAAGAGTGAAAAAAACTATACAGGCCTAAAAAATATAAAAAATCAGAAAAAAAAAGCCCAAAATGCTATACTATATTTATAATTTTCAATTTTTTAATTAAAAATTTGTTTAAAGATATATATATTTATAATAATCGTATCCATGATAGTTTTTGAAGGTTTATTGTATTCCTCGTATTCTCGTGTCGTGTCGTATCTCCGTATCGTGTCATAATCGTATAGCGGTATTCGTATTTGCGTCCGTGCTTCTTATCCTATAGTTTCATCTATGTGCGTCAATAAGCATGGATTTGAGAACTGCTCTGTTGATGGATGAACCAATTTGTATCAAATGGGAATCCTTGGACATCCTGAAGTCTCTACAGTGCTTTAAACTGATTTACTTATTTTGTTTTTTTAAAATTTCAAAGGAAAGTGGTCCCTCATTCAAATATCAGTGAACATGTAAAAAGATAATGAAAATATAACCCACAATCCTTAATTTAAATCGATCATTTATGTAAAATAATATTGTCAATTTATCAATAGGCTTAAAAAAATTTATTTTATTTTACGAAGGAGTGAATACGCTAATGCTGAATTTAGTTAATAATTGTTTTCCAATATTATTTGCCAATTTATATTAATCATTCTTTTTTTTTTCTTTTTTTCCTGTATCAATACCAGATACGTTTTTATTGTTTTGTTTTCAAAAGCTGTTTTTCGATGAAGTTATCATACACATTCTCAAATGAGTTTTTATAAAAAATAGCCAAAATTTAACCCTCAAATTTATAAATGTCAGTTTTTTAAAATACTTTCAAATATAGCCAAAAACTCACTTAAATTGACCCAAATGCCCTCTAAATTAAAACCTAACCAAAAAGCATGCTCTTCCAATCCATAAGCTACTGAGCACAAGCCTCACTCTCCACCCAGCCTACCCTCAAACACAAGGACACTGCCCCTCTCCAATCACCCTTAATGGAAAGCAAAGTTAATATAGGCAAATTTGTGTTGTGGGAAGATAGTCTATGAACAGCGAGGGCCTTGCAATTTTTCTAGACCTCTTGTGTTGAGGGAAGGCAGCAGCACATATGATGGTTTGCAAGAAAGTTTAACCCCCATATCATATGCAGACTAGCAGTATTTATGATACAAATTTTGCGAGAAAGTTCAACTTTTTTTCTCAATTAAAAATTATTATGTCAAGAAATTGACTTTAACTTTTTTTATTGTAAAAAACTCCCAAACCCACGAATCAAGCCATCGTCGCATAGATGATTTTTATTGCTTGGATTTATGAAAACATCGGCTGTTACTTTTCTTCTTCTTTTTGGTAATTACATTGTCATTGTTATAATAGGATTCATAGACATGATTAAGTTGACAAAGCCAATCTTGTTTTTGTGCTCCTGTAATTTTGGGTTTTAGCTTTTAGGTGTAATTGAGTTATAATTTAGAGGGCATTTGGGTAAATTTAAGTGAATTTTTTTTATTATATTTGAAAGTATTTTTAAAAACTGACATTTATGAATTTGGAGGTTAAAGTTTGGTTATTTTTGATAAAAACTCTTCTCAAATTTTGAAAATGCAAATTCATTTTCTGAAAACATTACTAGATTGGCCCAGATGTTTCTAAATTTTTCCTTTGATATGAACTTAATTCAAACTTCTTGGTGTGATTTTGGTGAAGAATGAGTTTGGAGGAGAAGTACCAGATGTTGAGGAGCTTGGCAGAGGAATGTATTCAGGAGGACGAGCTTCGGAATTTGCTGGCTCATAAGCCTGAACCCATCGCCTATGATGGGTTTGAACCCTCCGGCCGAATGCATATTGCTCAGGTGTTTTTTCAAATTTTCTTTAGCAGTCATAAAATTCATAAGACATAATTGATGTTGATTATAGCTGTAAATTTCAATAGTTGATTTTGAACAAGACTTGATACATTTTGTGGAGAGAAGGTACTCAAATTGAGATTATGCAGTGTGTTCTTCTCGTGTATTGGTTATTTGGATTGCAATGGACTTTCTTGTGTTTTGAAAGAGTAATTGTAGTAAGAAATTTAAGGGGCTGCATGTTTTCATTATATCATTGTTAATTTTGTGAGGTTCAAATGTGTTGTTGTCTAGGGAGTTATGAAGACGATAAATGTGAACAAGATGACCTCCGCTGGCTGCAGAGTGAAAATATGGATTGCAGATTGGTTTGCAATGCTAAACAATAAGATGGGGGGTGATTTGAAAAAGATAGAGACTGTTGGGCGCTACATGATAGAGATATGGAGGGCTTCTGGGATGAATTTGGACAATGGCAAAGTTGAGTTTTTGTGGTCTTCAAGGAGATAAATGCGAGACCAGAGGAGTACTGGCTTCGTGTGATGGACATAGCTCAAAAGTACACAGTTCAAAGGATAACTAGGTAGCTAGCCTATTACGATGCTTATTGTGCCTATATATATATATATGTGTGTGTGTGTGTGTGTGTTGAATATGGAATAAAGTATTTTTTTTCCTTCTATATATCCAGGTGTTGTCCGGCTATGGGTCGAAATGTGGAAGAAGATTTAACTGCAGCCCAAATTCTCTACCCATGTATGCAATGTGCAGATATATTCTTCCTTCAGGTGCTCGCTGTTTTACTTTTGGATATTTTATTAATGCTTATAAGATAGAAAACTGCTAGATTTTTGCTATATGGAGAAGAATGAAGAACATCATATACCTTTCAGGTGTTTGTGCTGCAGAGTTCAATACTCAAATTAAATAGTGGATGTTTAGAATTTAATGAGCATACTTGTAGAGTTCAATATATTTTCTTGCTATAAATCTGCTGTTTGTGCTCTTGTGTGATCATGGATTTTGACATTTGGCTAGCTGATCTGCCCTTTGTTCAATCTTTTTTTTCCTAGTCTTAGCTCTTATCTTTCGAACATTGTTAATCAAATTGATAATTTGATAATGTTTTATTTTCCACCAACAGAAGAGAGAAAAAATGTTCGATTTCGACAAATATGTCATGGTGACGTGTGAAATGTTTTTTTTTAATAGGCTGACATCTGCCAGATGGGAATGGATCAGCGTAAAGTGAATGTTCTTGCAAGAGAGTATTGTGATGAAATCAAAAAGAAGGACAAGCCTATTATCTTGTCACACCGTAACATTCTAATTCCTATTAGTACTTTTGCTGTTGCAATGCTCTATTGTTTTATGCTTTAAAATGAGAGTACTTACGTAGTATTTGTTTGTTTTTCTTAATGATGATTTGCAGACATGTTACCTGGTTTGCAGCAAGGGCAGGAGAAGATGTCTAAAAGTGATGTATCGTCCTCCGTATTCATGGAAGATGAAGAGGTGGGCTGTTTTAAGCTAGGGGCTTTAGCTTTTATTTTCAATGTATGCTGCCAAATATTTATTCAATATTTTGATATATATCACTGAATCTCAGGATGAAGTGAATTTGAAGATAAAGAAAGCTTACTGCCCTCCAAATGTTGTTGAAGGGAATCCATGTATGGAGTACGCGAAATATCTCATTCTACCTTGGTTCAATGAGTTCATTGTAGAGCGCTCCGAAAAGAATGGGGGAAATAAGTAAGTGATAGACTTTAGATTTATACTGGTAAATATAATTTATTTAAAAAGCTTTTGCTTGGTAACCTAATTGAACCTCGTATTGGTTGTAATTGTTCCTTTTGCTTCCCCCCAATACAGGACCTTCAAAAGCTTTGAAGAATTGGCTGCTGATTATGAAAGTGGTGAGCTGCATCCAGCTGACCTTAAATCAGCTTTATCAAAAGCATTGAACAAAATACTGGAGGTAGGCTTAATTCTTTATATGCCCCATGTTCTTTTCATTTTGAACAAAATACCGGTGGTAGGCTTAACTTTGTTTTTCCTGAATGCAGCCTGTACGCGCACACTTCAAGAATGACGAAACTGCCAAACAGCTATTGCAAGTGTCAAGGTATTTTCTGGTTTTGCCTTTAGATAAAAATTTGTTTTCTTCATTACATATATCTCAGAAGTATTAGTTCAAAGTTTCCTTAAGGTATCAATTTATTGGTTGGAGGAAAACTCAACCAAGATGTTCTTTGGTTTCGTAGAAGTATAGAGTCACCAGGTGATGAATGCAATGGAGCTCGGATTCTCTCATATTTGCCCTTCTGCTCTATACTAATTGGTGGATGAGAAGACTATTTTTGTGGTCTGTCTAATGATATTGTTTTTTTTTTTTTTTTTTTTTTTTGGCAGTTGATATCCTTGGTTGTTTTTCGATTCGATCTCTGTCATATGAACAAACCCCCTGAGGGATTTCTATATACATGAAATTGTTGTGCTTCCATCGTGTTCTTATATGTGCTGTTTCATATAATTTGAATTATGTAGCTAATCTTGGTAATTTACTGAATCTACTTAAAGTTAATCTGCATAATCTATTTTCAAACACACCTTGTTTTGCCTTTGCCTTTAATTGGAACCCACTGGAAATCCCTTGGCAAGAAAATTCTCACAGGCAGGAAATTTTTGTATGCCTTGGGTAAATCTCACCTGGGTATTGGAAGTGAAAATTATGGATACATTAGCTGACTTGGGTTCTGATTTTTGGGCTAAATCTACTCTTTTGCAGCTTGTAGCCCAGCCCACCCCCTTATTTGATAGTTCTCTAAACCGGATTTCGAGCCTATGCATTTAGGCCCGTGCATTTACTCGTATTTTGTTAAATCTAAGTCACTCGTATTTTGTTAAATCTAAGTCACTCAAACAATCTTAGACTTAATACAAGATACATAATCAACCATTTAAGTCATATTATTTTATTTTATTTTTAATTTTCCAAAACTCATTAAACCCTATCCTTAACGGCGTTGAGGCTGCTTAGTTTTAACGCAAGCGTGTTTCTTCTTTTTCTTCCGCGCACACACAATACTAGCACTTCAAGCACAAACACTTGAATCTGCTATACCACATACAACTCCAAGCACACACACACTACCACCCAAAGCATAGACATTACCACTGTTAAACCAGATATGTTAGGCATATTCTAATCAGTGCGCGTCAAATCATTAATTACGAACTCTTTACATCGAACCAAATAAATTAAGAAATCTAAATGAACAATGCTATACAAACTTTTAGAAAATTGAGTAGACTGTAGAAGTGAGATTTTCTCAATCCCTCTTTTATTTTATTTTATTTTTCAATTTCCAACCCAACCCCACTTCCCAAACCCAAGTCCAAACCCAAATAGCCACTCATTCACCGCACATCAATATGAAAGTGGAAAACTCCTTCTGAAAAACAAATCACAATAAGTGTTTGTGTCGAAAACACACAATTTATATGAACAAACGGATCATACAAGTCGTGTTTTCATATGTTCAAATAATAGCTGATCGGTTTGCAATGTTACAAGAACATAAAATATATAATGATGGTTGGAACATTAGAGTGAATTAACTTTTAATACAGGTTCTCTATGGTAAAAACAACACGTGAAGAATATAAATATGTTTATCTAAGATATTGGAGTGATCTAAATATGTTTGGTAATTGTAAGAATATAAGTTGTTTGCAACCAACTAAGCTTTTTGGAGACCAGTTTTGGTACGAACTCTTTAAAGCGAGGGGTTAGTTTTCAATGTATACTACCAAATAAGAATTCAAATTTTTGACATATATCACTGAATTTCCAGCCGAAGTGAATTTGGAATCCATGTATGTGCCCTTACCTCTCAACAAGTGATATGTACTTTTAAACTGTTCTTAGCGTTATTTTTGTGGACTTTTGTCCATATATGGCTAGTCACCAATTTATAGAGCACAATAGACCCCAAACCTAGCTATGCGGCTGCGGCAATGCTATGGTGGAAAATGGCATTTTCGTTTTTGAGTTAGGTTAGTCCATATTCCAAACCCATCAAATTGATGAACAGTCTAAATTCTATCATCCTATATTTGCGACCCAAAACGTAACCCAATATGTAATTAAAGTCAGTTTATGAGTTAGTTACGTAAAAGTTCAAGAATATAGCATTAATAAACATGTAAGCTCACCTCCTTTGACGGCTAGTAAAAATTATATAGAGCTTGTTATTTCTAAGGGAAAAAAATAAAGAATTGTGTAAGAGGTTTGTAATACACGTGATTAATATTTACTTTGCATATGAGGTCATGTGTTTATTCTTTTCATTCTAATATCGCTTGTATAAGAAAAATATTGTATAATTGAATATGGCCGGTGGTCTAAGTGTCACCTATTGTGTCCATATATAAAAGTTCCTTCGCTTCGAATTCGGAAGATATTCTTTAAAATTACGTAGCAATAGTAAACGAAAAGAATTATATATGGAAACCAAAAGCATGTGCTCAGACTCTTGTAAATCAAATGAGAAGCCCAAAAAGAGTGGTTGTCCGCCATTAAATTATTGATCAGACTAATATAGAATAATTCAATCGATTAGGTTATTGAGCCCATAGCTATATGTCTAACCAAATAATCATAAACGAGGCAAAAGCAGTGCATGCATATCTCTATGTACTTAGCATGACTCATGACTTCAACATCCCGACATCTCCCAATAGTTTAATGAGTTCATCATCAAGTACTTCAAATTGGCCATCGTGCTTCCTTATACTTCATCTTCTCAAACGATTACAACTCCATAAATAAATTTCAGAAGTAAACTTGAAAAGCTTTTCTGTTAGTTCTTGCATGACTTAAACGTTTTTAATTAAATTAGTCGCATCTAACAAGCTGGTTGACCCATTGATCTTGGACTAGTACTACTCTCTCTCTCTCTCTCCTCTCTCTCCTCTCTCTCTCTCTCTCTCTCCTAATAGCGACTATCATATGGAAGAAGTGCTCCTACATATCAATCAAGGACAAAATTAACTCATAAATAACTTTAATAATGATTAGAATAATAAAGTGCATAAATTAACTAGCAATTTTCTTAGCTCAACGTTGTAACATAAATAAGATCTTTTAGACATCTCTAGCTACCACCGAAGTTCCAATTTGATTTCTTTCCTCTAATATATGGCTAAGGTGTGTCCTCAAGCTCCCCAAGTTCTCTCTATCCCTCCCAACATGAGTGGCTCTTCAAAGAGAGAAACTTATACCATTTGGATGAAATCACTTGTGTGCCATACCAATGGTTGCACGATCTATAATTCCAATGGTGACGTCGTTTATCGAGTGGACAACTACGACAAAAGTGTAGCAACGAAGTTCATCTCATGGATCTCCAAGGCAAGTTCTTTATACCATACGTAAAAAGGTAAATATATGAACAAATATGGTTGCATTTTCTAATCGCGAATCCAAGTACCTTATGTTGTAAATTGCATTTGATTTTGTAGAAGTTACAAGCTTTTGAACGATGGGATGGCTATAGATTGATTGCCCCTTCTAAAGTGGAGAAGGAGAAGCCTTGGTTTCAAGTGACAAGATATTGTAGAATGTTTATGGGAAGCATAGCTTGTCAAATTACAGTAGATTGTGACAAGTACTGGATAGTGAGATTGGCAGGCAAGAGTACTGTAAGATTTAGAATTGTTGACGTTGATGGAGATATCGTTGCAGAGGTGAGCCTAGCTAGTCTCTTTAATTGCTATATAAGGATCTACCAATACATATTTTATCACTATAATTAATTTGCTAATAATTTAAAAAAATTCCTTTTATGGGTTTGTGCAGGCAAAGCAGAAGGTATCATCTTCTGGGGTAGTTCTGGGGAGTGATGTATTAACTCTGGAGGTGGTGCCTCATATGGAGCATGCCCTTATAATGGCTATAATAGCTGTGTATGGATTGCTTTGTCGCAAAATGTAAATGGCCATCTTTTTTGCATAATAGCATGGTTATCTCCAAGCATGCAAGCAATTAAGAGGAGGCTTCTGAGTTAATGTTATGTTGTTTTTCCCTTTAAATTCTATGGTAATGACATAGATTGTGTGGTTCTTTGTATATATTCATAATTTAGTTAATCACTACTTTGATTTGCATCCAAAAAAGATCTCCTGCTCAATCGATTAGTACTTTACTCTCAACCCATGCACTGCTGCTGAAAAATGCTGCCAAATTGTGATCTTGAATCACACATTTAGACAAGAACTAACTTAATGATTCAGATTCACTATTTGACAATATGAGCGCATCATATTCCAAGATAGTTTGGCAAGAAAACATTAAGCATATTTAAACGCCAACAGTGCCAAATATATAGCAGGCTCATTGCCTAATATGTAAGTTGGATATCTTGTTGACTCATTTTTTGGCAACATCTAACTTTTCTGGTTAGTGATTGTCTAGTATATTTCAAAGTTTTCGGAATTAATGGATGTCTAACATTGTATATATCTGATCATTTATTTTCAGAATTGTTGAGAGACCTAGCATGAGTTTATAAGGAGTTGAGTTACTCCCCATACTGCCAATTCATTTTAGAGTGAAACCTCAACTTCCATAAGAAATACGCTATATATGTATTAGTCTGAATTATTGATTAGGTAAGCTGTTATTTAAGTGTAATTAGCTACTTTTTTAACGTAATGCCACCACCGACTTCTTTGTTTACCTTTTGGGAGCACCGAGCAACCGTATATAAAAACTCATTCTAGAAAGATTATTCTATAGCTAACTCTATATACATCAAGATCGTCGAGCATGCAAGAGCCATGGAATTAGAGAGAGGGCCAATGAGAGCCCGGCGTTTAATAATTTTCAACAGAGAATTCCAATTGATTCTTCAGAGACATTGAGCTATTATAATCATAATAATGCATGCCCCAAGTGGACAATACAAAATGAACGTGGTCACGAAGATTCAGCTTCACTTGACATATAATTTATTTGTAAGCATCATTTCATCATCTGGAAAGATTGAATAAAGACAAGCTATACATATATAGTTTAGAATTTCAAGTCCAAGAAAAGCTGCAATTTTCTACTTGGCGTGCTTCTTAGAAGTACCGAAAAGGCGCATGTAGGTGTTTCATTTAGCACATTATTTTGTACGGATACCTTACCTATAATTGTTCATGGCCAATCATTTTGCGATATTCCTTATACTTTTTTTCTTTCTATTTTTTAATATCTTTTTAGTTTTAATTGTACTATTAGGAATCAAATCTCCACACCTTCCTTATTTTTGTCATATATATGTTCTTGTTGATGTATGTATGTCAAATTATTTGTATGTAGAGAGAGGGTATATGCAGTTATTATAAATATTCCATTTACATGATATTGCATATACATAGCAGTAAAGTTTAATACTTTCCATCCTTTCGTAATGCAAATTGGTATATATGTGCTTAACAATTGATACATGCGTTACTAAGAAAATTTGAACACAAAATCTCGAGTTCATATGTTATTGCTCTTAAACTTTAGCTCAACAATGCATTGTAAAATTTGCCATCTATTTAAAGCGCTGTTCTAGCTACTTTAGAGACCTAATAAAGATCTTTCTAGCTACATATGCTTCTTATCATTTGTCCATTCCTTTTTTATTTTTCTTTTAGATTTTTTGCGCTATAACACAAACATGTTCCCTTCATGTTTTTCTGAGGTCATCTCTTCTTTTTTTAATTTATTCCAGCTAAGCACACCAATTTGTTATTATCTTTTTTATTTTTTTTGCACTGTTATATATAGGAATATGTTAATTAATTATGTCGCCTCCACGTTGGCAAACCCCACACAATGTGATAATTTATGGGGCCTCAAATTAATAGAAAATTAAGATACAATCACAACAAGCAAACAACACCCATAAATTATATAAATTAATTTGCAAAACATAAAAATATGTACAGAAAACGGCGAGTCCTTGTTAGCTAGCCATGTGCCATCAAGATCACCATCCGAATAATGTTAAAATCCCCTTTGTAAATTAATTTATTGCATATTTCATATAATACTCGTGAGAGCCTAGAAGAAGTCAAAAAATGTCCAAGATAATTTCATTAATATATAGCTCAGTAATCAGTGTATAATAAGCTCTTAAAACTAATGTTTGTCAAACCAAAATTATAATATTTTGATTAAAAAACAAATTAAAATTAAAATTTATGTACAATTTCTAGGCACATATCCCATATGCTTCTCATTATTTTATGCAATTACATAACGGTATGCACAAATTAAACGTGGAGTTATTGGATTAAGAAACTAATATTTAATTAGACTGCATTAATTATATTCTCATTTTGAGGGAGTATAAATTACAAACTTGATTGAAGTACTCTCATCATCACACACCAAGTATCTTCTTTCACAAACCAAAGACTAAAGTTCTTTCATCTCTAATTTGCTCCCAAATGGCCAAGGTTCATCCTCTTTCAATGTCCAAGACTGATGATGCTTCTACTACTAGCACTTCCTCATGTTCTAATAACAAGTGCGTGACCTCAAAGAGAGAAACATTCACAATATGGATGAAATCGCTTGTGATGCAAGGAAGAGGATGCACTGCGTTTGACGAAAATGGAGAGATCGTTTATCGAATCGATAACTACGACAACAAGCACAGCAACGAAGTTTATCTCATGGATCTCCGTGGGAAACTTCTCTTCACCGTGTGTGAGAAGAAAATGAGCTTTTTTCCAAGTTGGAAGGGATATAAAAACAATGGTGCCAATAAGGCATTGTTTCAAGTGAGAAAAAGTTGCAGATCAATTCTTGGAAAGAAAGGGTTTGCTTATAAAGTAACCATGAGATCTGATGGCAGCTGTTACCGGCTAGAGGGTTTGAGTGGTAAATCATCAGAATTCAGAATAACAGATAGCAATGGAGGAGTTGTAGCAGAGACAAAGAGAAAGCAGTCAAGTTCAGGAGTTGTATTGGGAGATGATGTGTTCACTTTGGTGGTGGAGCCTCATGTTGATCACTCCTTTATCATGGCCCTTGTCACTGTTTATGGCTTAATTAGACATCAAATATGACTTAATTAGAGCTGTCTCAGATACATATATGCATGTATATACTATATTCTTCTAGAGTGCAGATCTAGAATGAAATCAACTGAGTCTTTTTTTGGCCAATTTGTACTTATAGTGCTCCATAAGTATACATGACAACTTTATCAAGGAATAGGAATTGATTCTCATTTCTCATTTCCTCTTCTCGTTGGCCGTACAAAAAGGAAGTATTTCATGTTTTGATTATCATTCTATATACTCATCTTGGCTTGCGTTAACTATCTCTAAAAGACAATGATCATCATATGGAATCAGAGTTTGATAGGAGTTTTTATTTGACTTGAGGTAATGAAGATCCATTAATCATGTTGTGTATTAGACCGGCATGGCCACTACTAAGTTCAAGATTATTGTCCCCAATTCAACTACGTAAATCTAAATTCTTTGTTGGTTAGGGCGAAAGGCATTTTCGCAATTCTTTCCATATTACTAAGATAATGAGTTAAAGTAAAAATAATTGGTGAAAGTTGTCCTCATCTTCCTCATGTTGTATATGTTTAATATATCAAACACGCGTGTTCATTCACCCAAGTAATTTATTCGGAATGCTTAAAGACTCAATTAATTTATATTCTATCAATTTAATTTGTAAATTTTTTTATCATCAACGATTCTATGAATTTGCCCTTCATTTTTCATGTATTAATTTTAACGAAATTTTTAGAATTTATCAGACCAATAAAGAAGAAAAAAAAACTAGTTGAACAATCTGGGAAGAGAATGCCATTGGGTTTTGTTCACGCTGTTCCCAAAGTGATAAGCACGACCACAGATGTGACAAGTACTAGATCATAAACGCATGATATACCCTCCATAATTAAATTATGATTAAAATCACAACCACAACCACAACCACAACTAGCTAGAAGTCTTTGTTATGATGCTTGTTTCGTAAGAGCCTAGAACGAGTCAGAGAATGACAATAAGATCAATATACATATTTCACCGGACCACTTGAAGTGTATATATATAGTAAGTGTTATAAGTTAATACTAGAAACTCTTCTAAAGATGTTCCAATATTTGGACCTAAAATTTTCGTGAGTGGGCTAAAATGAGTGGGCCTTCAAAATGACGATAATTGAAGAAAGAAAATGCTTTGGGCCTAAGAAGAGACTTTTAAACCCACACGAGTGGTTTGAATGACGAAAGAAGCCGACCTAGTTGGCCGAAAAGATTCAGACGTCAACACCAATATTCAAATAATTCACCAAGTATCTCATTTGTTTTGATCCTAGAGAATAATAGGAGCCATGATTGGAGTAGAAACCCTTTAAAAGTACTAACTAAAAAAAGTGAGCCATCCTAACAACTTTAACTAAAATTTAGTTAGAAAAATTAATGCAAAGGCCCCTTTTTGGTCCTCAACAGAATGGTGATTCAACATTTGGAGGCGGCCCCAAAAAAGTTTTGTTCAGGGGGGAATACAACAAGCAGCAAGTACGTAGCAAACATCTCTTTTTCCTTTTTGACTCAATGCGACAAATAGCCAAGTCATAAATTTCCTTTAAGAAATTCAATCGATATGTATGTGTCACTAATGATGCGTCGATGAAAACATTTGGTGTTCCTTATTGTACTTTTTATTTATTTATTAAAAAACTCTAACGGTACGAGAGAAATTTTTTAATCACCAATAAAAAAAGCCCTGAATAATATGAAGTGGCTCTTCAATCAAACCATTGTACTCTAGTGTTACAAGATAAAGCAGTCCTAGCAAGTCTATGTTCCTTAATACTTTTTCTTTTTAGGGTTATCTTCTAGCGTTATATCCAATTTCTCGGCAAGATAAAATATTCTTGTCAAAATGTGAATTTGGACTGATGATCTGATTGATTCTTGTAGAACG